TCTTTCCCTTCATAGCGGCGATCGCGGCATTGACGTCTTTCGGCACGACGTCCCCACGGTACAGGAGGCAGCAGGCCATGTACTTGCCCTCGCGCGGATCGCACTTGACCATCTGATTTGCGGCCTCGAAGCACTCGGAAGTGATCTCTGCGACCGATATGCCTTCGTGGTAAGCCTTTTCTGCAGACACTACCGGGGCATAGGTCGCCAAGGGAAAGTGTATGCGGGGGTAGGGCACCAGATTCGTTTGGAACTCGGTCAAGTCGACGTTCAGGGCACCGTCGAATCTCAAGGATGCTGTGATCGACGACACCACCTGGCTGATCAGCCGGTTCAGATTTGCGTACAAGGGTCGCTCGATGCCGAGCTTGCGCCGACAAATATCATAAATCGCTTCGTTGTCCACCATAAACGCGCAATCAGAGTGACTGATTGTCGTGTGTGTTGTTAATATCGCATTGTAAGGCTCCACCACAGCGGTAGATACCTGAAAATAACCATGTGTATTTTTTTAACAGGAATTATTACTATTCGTACTAAATCTTTATTTTGCAAGATCATGTGTTTCCAGATCTCGCAACTAGAGATTAATTTTAAAATTTATTTTACTATATTTTTATCTTTATTAGTCCTGGTTCCACTAATGTAAAATTAACTTTAATCTCGGTTCAATTTATTCTTTATCGAATCGACGTCATCGATCCGACCAAGATTAGATTCAAACCTACTCCATTCGAAAACGCTAATACATTGGTGGAACCGGGCCTTAATCTTGATCACTGTAAATACTTACCTAGAAATTTAAGAAAGAAAAAGATTAATTTTTAATTCGTTTTAATCTCATCATTTCTCACAACATGAGACAGAAAGAATTAATTAATTCGCTAAGTGATTTCGCTTATTTTTATCTTTATTAATCTTGATTGCTATACTTGATTATTGTAAAATACTTATTTATAAATTTAATTAAAAAATAGATTCTGTTCTTCAATTTATTTTAATCTCATCATTTCTCACAAAATGAAAAAGCGAGAACTAATTAGATTCTCCTGCAAAAATGTGTAAATCGATCTAACTTTTCTGAACTCACTTGTGGCGCCGGATATATGACAAATTCCAATTTACTCTTCTTGCCGTAATCATCGGACAGCTTTTCCATAAGCAGAGACGTGAAACCCGACCCTGTGCCACCTCCAAATGAATGAAAAACAAAGAAACCTTGCAGACCGGTGCATTGATCGGTCAGTCTGCGTACTCGGTCCACCACGGACTCGATAATCTCACTCCCGATGGAATAATGACCGCGAGCATAATTATTGGCAGCATCTTCTTTGCCAGTAATTAATTGTTCTGGATGATACAATTGTCTGTACGTTCCCATCCGAATTTCATCTGTGGGAATAATAATAATTTTCAAGCTATAGCTATATATATTGTGCCAAAAAAAAAACGATTATATAAAATGTTTATATAATAATATTATCATTATTATAAATAATTAAAATATTATTATTATAAATAATTTTCTCTGTGATGATAAATTATAATAAGCTAACCGACGACAGTCGGCTCGAGATCAACCATTACAGCACGCGGTACCATCTTGCCGGAGCTCGTCTCGTTGAAGAAGGTATTGAAGCAATCATTTGAACCGGAAGCCTTGTCAGATGGCATGGTCCCGTCCGGCTGGATGCCGTGTTCCAGACAATATAACTCCCAGCAGGAGTTGCCCATCTGGACGCCCGCTTGGCCCACATGCATCGATATACACTCGCGCTGTAAATCACATGTAGCGTATTTTACGTTAATTATAAACTCTTGATGATGCACTTCATCTAATTCACACTTCATAGAATTTTGTAATTTTTTTCAGAGTCAAGAATTGGCTAAAGAAAACATAATTTTAATTTTCCATACCATTTTGATTTTTTCAATTGAACTTTTCTTGATGTTACACAATGAAAATTTGGATGAATCGTCAAATCGAAATTTTAATTAAATTTTGAACTTAAACACGATAAATTTGGAGGCCGGCCATGAGCTACCCTGGAAAAAAACACTCGCAATTTATATTTTTGTTGCTCTGGTAACCGTTACGATTGAACTTCACGGAGATCGAATATAATTTCTTTAACGTGAAATAATAATGTCTTAGCGCCGAAATACTACCATGTTTCCAGATTGTTATGATCGAATGTGATCTTTGTTTACTTATGCTTAAGGAGATTCTAAAGTCGTATTACCGACTAAACGATAACAATTACGTATAATAATTACTTTTTTCTTTTACAGATTCGAAAATTCTTTTCGGGAATTAATTAAAGTATACGTATAATTAATACGTACGTGTGTGTGAGGTGGACGAGTTTATGCCGAGAAAGCCAGAAAATTTCGAAATTGAGACATTTTTCTATCATTTCTTTAATTTTTTATTTATATTAATTTTTTAAATTAATCAATTAGATGGAGAACTTTATAAATATATATATATTTTGCGTGACATGCTAATATTATTTGAAAATTAATATCTAAATAAAACTTAGCGAATTAATATTTAAACTTATCAATTATAAAGAGCCAGGCTCGATGTTTATTGTCCTATCAAATTATAATGTATTTTATAATAAGAAAATTATAATCATAGGAAAACGTTTCGGTTTACATTAAGCCATCTCTCTTCAGTGGATTTAGAAATGATAACTTACAGATTAATTTTCACATTTAATAAATTACAAACCTATTAATGTAATTTTCTTATGAAATACATTGTAATATGTTTAATGTCGCACCTGGTTCAATGTCTTGTATACAAATTATATATACAAATTAATATATATACTTATAATATATGGAACTACAAAAGATTGATATAAATATGATATATTGAATGCGTTCGAGAAGACGCTATTGCACTATTTGTGTCATTTTGTTTGTATCGTCTATTAGACATAAAACGAGGATAGAATGACACAAATAGCGTCTCCCCAAACGTACATTCATTAATATATACATTAATACCTGCTACATTCATTAATATATTATATTCATATTTTGCAACTTTACAGTATTTTAACGTAATTTTTGTTTTATATTTTAATGTTTCAGAAATTATTAGAGTTAAATTCAATAAATATTGTTAAATTTCGACGCTTGGCAAAATTGCTATGAACAAAATTAATATAGAAATTTGAACCTGAACAAATAGGGTGCTAAAAACGGGTTGCTTGTATACATATATGTACGTACCGATATATATTTCTGCCATGCGTCAGACGTATCCGTGGCAACTAAGAGCGCGTGTTGGTGTTCTGTAGTACAATACCTGCCATTCCCATTAAAAGTGACAATAGTTGATACCATCTCTAAAATAGATAAAATGTCGAGCAAATTAGCGAACCGTGGACAAAGCTATCTTTTCGAAGAAACGATTACATAATTCCGACTGCATAATTAAATCTGTTTATTATACAATCTAGAAATCGTTTTCCTACGACTAGTGTATAGCTACAGTTTTTATACAATCAACCAATGTATAATTCATTTTCACTGCCCAATATGATTTCGCAGAAGTGATGTGCGATCCATGAATTCATCAAGAGATATCAATCGTGTAGGAATAAAACCGCGTTCAAAGCAAGAAGTGCATTATTAACTAAATAAATAAATGTTGAATTATGTTCTTTAATTGAATTACATTTTTAAATAAGTATTAAAAATGCAATCTGGTGAAAAAAGGATTAATTCAAAGTAATATTTTTAAAATGACAAAAGAAATTTTTTTTAAACACTAACTAAGGAGAAATATAATTAAAGGTCATCATTAGCGTGATTAACGCATCGACGGATGGATATTAATTACAGAGCAAACATCGCAAAGTGGCTACCGCTTTCTGATGGTGCCCTCGACAAATGGCTCATAGATGCTTCTCTTTTGGACGAAAAAATGGGAAAACTTGCAGGATGTATAGCTTTAATCATCGAGGATTCTGCGGAGGCTCGCACTTGCGATCAAGAGGTCTCCTTTATAGCAAAAATGTTTTCTTTTCTGTTATCAATAAATATATAAAGTGATAAATATATAAAATGATAGTTAACTATGTGGACAGTTAATTGCTTTATGTATTTTACAGATATTTGAGGAAGTGATAGATAATCTAGAGGAATTAATAGAAAGTTACAAATCAACGTGCAATCCGGAGGAATTAAGTAGTCATCCGATATACAAATATAAAATAAATCACCTGTCAATAGTATTAAAGCGCAAATTAAATGTAATCGCAAAGTTCACCCAAAATTTGATTAATGACATTGTTGATTGCAAAAATGATGAGAACATAAGAATAGTGTTTAGGTGAAAGTTAAATGGAAATAATTCTTTCTATTGCATTAATTATGTATTGCTTTAATTTCATTTTTACTTTATTTTAATTGCTTTTTTATATTGAAGAATTAATTTTTTTCGATAGAATTTTTTCTTGATACATTTAAATTTTTCTAATACTGCCAAATGCTTTAACAAATTATAATGGGCAAATTGCAGATTAATAAATGGTTACAATAAAATTCTCGATATGAATCGAGACGTGTCAGATTCGTCTGTCAATGTCTTTTACAACGATTGCCCATCTATGTTGGAGCCTTTGAAGAAGCTCTCCGTTACCAAAACATTGCAAGTGAGTATTCTAATATTCATTATGTATACCTTTTAGCAATGAAAAATTGATATTTTTTTTTAACAAATATGATTAAGTTGAATACAGCATTACATTAATAATTTTAGATTTTAGCAAAGAACAGAGCAGAGGAATCTTGTCACGAACTTATTGATTGTCTTCTGGCAAATTATGAACCCCATGAAAAAATCGAGCCTGTATCTGCAACGAACGATGTAGATGTTTCAGAAAGTTCTAGTATTGAAATCTATCGGTTAGTTTGCGTCAGTATTATTATTGTTCCAAAGTATGATTTTATATGCAATAATAAATCTTTATATATATAATATATATATATTGATCTTATTATAATTATAATATATTTTTACATTTTTTCATATTATTATTATTATATATATCAAATTATTGTCATGACCGTTTTTTAAATTACAACTTAATCAAATGTACCTCTGTTACATTTATTATAAACTCTCTCAAATTATAGCGCTCTTACAAGGCATTTAACGCCACCAATCACAAGTGCGACTTCGACGTCTGAAGTGGAGACATCCAATATTGAAAGTGTACAGGCACTCGTAAACACGCAAAACGAGCAGATCCTTAGACTCTTAAATGTTGTACAAGAAATATCACCCCAATTGCTTGGCACGGATGCCTTGAAGACTAGCAAAGGTACAGTCCGAATAAATGTAAAGACTTATCTCTTAATATTAAATTATTTATAACAAAATGTAATAAAATAGTCAAAGCGACACATTCAAAATTTCACTAGGCGAGACAAAATTGAGAGGCAGCGCGATAAAGAAAGTAAAGAACTATTATCAAGAGGTGGCATGGGGTGCATTGTCTAGTATTTTAGATCATGTGATACTGTGGTGGTCACGAGAAGCCCTTGCGACTCATCACAGCCACGGCGCTCAGCATCTCAAGGATTGGTTGCGACAATTTATTCAAGGGAATGAGAGTAAGGATATCTTTTTATTTAAAATCACTTCTTATTTTTAATTTTGTCCTTGGGAAAAGAACATTATTATATTACAATCTTTACAAGATATTATTATCTTTAAAATTTTAGTCCCGCCTACGGTTAGATCAGCGCTGCAAAATTTATGCGATGCGCTCGGATATCATACGACCATCACTGCTTGGGACCAAACGTTTAGATTAGCCTACACCTCGGCCTTTGAGTGCCGTTCGAAGCCGTCAGCAACAGAGGTTGGTATTTTATAAAGAAAACTTTCATTCTAGAATTTCAGAGATGTCTGCCAGGGAAAAAATGTTATATGTATGGACATATTTTATATATAATTATATGTATATAATTGTATATAAAATATGTCAATTTTTTATATAATTATATATGAAACATTTTTTCCCGGGCGTTTAATAAACGTAGGAGAAAGATTATAGTTGTAGCAGAAAGAACAATAATAGAAAAAGAAGGAAAAGGATAAATTTTCTACATGGAAAGAACGAGTTTGTTGAAGTATTAAAAAAAATTAGATAGATACAGAACTGAAAATAATTTTGTTGAATTATTAAATTAATTATGTAAGAAACTTAAGCATGATAAGTAATGTTTTGATGTTCTGATGTTCTTATTACCAGTTTAAGCGTCTTATATAATTATTTTGATAATTCCAATAAAATTATTTTAATTTTTCGTATTTAGTTAAATTTTAGATACTTAAAAAAACCATTTTTTTAGAGTAGATGGCAAATAACCATTCAAATTAATTGTTTTTGTAGGGAACCGACACTGGTCAAATGTTTGTCGAGCTGTTCCAGCTGCTGGTGACCCTCAGCAACGAATGCGAGGTAGGCGGCGAATGGGTGATAGGAGCACCATTGGTAGAACTGCCATTGTCGGAGCAAATTGTCGTGTTGCACAGAATGGATCACTCGGTGCACACGGCGAGATTGTGGGCCATTCAGGAGACCAAGATTATAGCCCACACTTGGGATCTGGACGTACTTTTTCTCCTAGTCAAGGGTGACGTAGTAAACTGCCTTGAAGAGCTGTCTTATCTCAAGGTATTACTTTTTAAATGTTTTTTATAAGGAAAATACATTATATTTATTTTTCATCGATTAATTTTAGCTCGCTGATCACACAACCGCATTGTCCATGAATTCTATTAGTGTCCAAGTATATGTGTGCACGAAGATGAGAGCGAAGATCGTTTCTGAAGTCAAGGCAAACATTGAATTACTTCAGGTATAATATTAAACTAGTTGAATTTCAGACATAAATGAATAAAAAAGATCTTTGAAGAAAAGACTTTCCGATGTGTTATGAATAAATTAACCGTACACAAATAACTTGAATATCTTTTTATCAACATCTTTCATATAGATAAAATCCTAAATATTAGTTTTATGATAGAGACAATAAATTTTTATCGAAATAAATTTAATACCGTCAAAATCGAAAAAGATTTCTTTTGCGAATATAATAATAATGTTTATAATAATCTTTGGATCTCTTTCTACTGCTTATAAAACTGATGATTTTATGCTTCTTTATTTCCATAGATTTGCTCTGCTAAGTGCATCGATACGCTTGCCAAGATATGTCGCGTGATCAGCCTCGCGAATTTGCATATGTGTTTTCCACAACCGAATTATTGGAGAAGAAACAGCAGCACATCTCCGGTGGCGGCTAGTCTTTATGTGGAAACTTATTTTGGTATATGTTTCTTCTGTTATTATTCTACTATTATCATGAAATAATATGATTGAAATTATTGTAGAAAAAGTATTGCTGCCAGTGTTGGAAGTGATAGAGGACCATGAAACATCCAACATGATTCTACGAATAATGTGCGAGGCATGGCTTGATTATATTTATCTACACCGCATCAAGTTCAGGTAAATTTTTTATTTGCTCGATATCTCAGTTGAAGTTATTCGTGATGCGATACAGAAGTGAAATTTATATTTTTTAAGGGGATGCTGGAGTCACCAAATTATCACATTACAGTCGTATAAAAATCTTCAAATGGACTGAACGGAATAAAAAATCCTTTTACAGGATTAAAGTAGACGCAAAATTAGGAGGTGGTGCAGTGGATTTTATACTAAAATCGAAAGAATGTTAAAAATTTTTTTAATCTTTTTATTTTAGTATAAGGTCCACTGCACCACTTCCTAATTTTGCGTCTACTTTAATCCTATAAAAGGATTTTGTATTTCATTCAGTCAATTCGAAGATTTTTATACGACTATAATGTGATAATTTAGTCACTCCAGCATCCCTTTAATATTGTTAACGCTTGTTAACATTTCTATATCCCCCATTGTATTGTTTATTAAAATAAAATTTCAGCGAATACGGTGCGCAACAATTGTTGACGGATTTCGCGTATGTATCGACGTGGGTCACTGAGTGTTCGATTATTTCACAAAACGTCAGGAATCATTTATTGAAGAACGAGGTCCTACGTCGTTGCGAAGGCGTTGGTCGGCTTTTATTGAGGCACCCGGGTGAAGCTATCGCTATGCGTAAACGATTGGGTAAATTAAATTAAAGATATTTGCAATTTTCAACGAGATTCAATCGCAAATAAATCGATATCAAAATGTGTGTTTTCTTTTCATTACATATGTAGCATCTCTAAAAATTTTTTTATTAACGATGGGAATCTAAATCTTTACTGATGCTTCCTCAAGGAGAGATTAAGTCTTTTTTCCTGCTATTTTGCGGTTTTAGCTCGAAGAACGAACGAGCGTGGATCTCCTGAATCTCCAGGTCTCGAACGCATGCCAGCTGAAATGTACGTTCCAAATCAAGAACAGTGGCTTGAATTGCGCGCTCCTAAGCGATACAATTTTTGCTGTATGGAATAAAGAAAGTAAACAATAAATCGTCAATTGAAATTATGTCTCACGTTCTCTTTCCCCAAAATTATTTTATAAACTGTTAAATACAACGGCTCGACTCCCATAGCATAAAACATTGCAACAACATTGCAGCAATATTTTGAAAGATTGCAATATTTTATAAAATATTGATGAAATATTGCAGCAACATTTCTATGTTCGCTAAAGCTACAATAAGAATAGGAAATAACATACAGGCTATAGATTTCATTAAAAGAGACACAATAAGAAATTGTATATATATATATATATATATATAGTAATACGCTGCAGTGATTTTTGATTGATTGATATCTATTCGCTGTGCTTTATTCCCTGTTACTATTGCCTGTACTTTTCATTGTATCTAAACACTTATATTTTTCATTGGCACAGCTGGTGCGTATTCAGCACTTTAAAGCCATTGTACATACACAAATCAACGTAAAGATGTGCATTTAAACCGCAAAATCCTCAATATATTGTGGTATTTGATAAAAAATACATTGGGTATTTTATTAATTGAGATATCTCACTTTTACATTCAAATTAGATTAATGTACAACAGCTTTAATGTGCACTGTGTGCGCACCAGTTCTACCAGTGAAAAAAAAACGCTATTACTCGTATATATAATAAATATAATTCATATTACATAGGTTTTTTCAGTTTTTTTTTAAATCTATTACTCTCTTTTACTGCTCAGTAACTGAATTTAGATTTCGTACTTCTTTACTGTGCAGAAAACTGCGAGAAAAGCGTAAATCTTTATTGGTATCATAATAAGAATAATTTTCTTCTTCAATTATTAGACAAAAATCAGTACAACTGATTATAATGACCAATCGAAAACTGCATTAAATTTCTATCAGAGTATTATAATGTGTGTTCATTGAGTACGTTAATAAAATTCATCTGCAGCTAATGTGCGCAAATTACGATCATTTGTTGTCGATATAGATTTATATTCTCGAGAAACCCAACAAAGAGCGGAAGCCTTTCCATAATACGACGGCGTATTACGTTACGTAGGTACAAGATGTGTGGCATTACACACCGCGGCATCGTCTGCCGTTCTAGCAGTCAAATGTCTGCGTTCATTGTCGTCGTCACGGTATTAGTATCAATCTTGATAGAAACTTTATGCAATATAGAGTCTGAAATGTTGACGTAATACTGAGGATATAGTGTTTAGTGTTACATTACGTATATAAATATATATAGGAAATTGACTAATTGTAAGTGCAATCGAGAAGTTGCTAATCAATTGTTAAATATTTGTTCTTTTGTGTAATGAATAAACGAAATGAAATTAGTCAATCATTAAACTGCAAAAGAAATATCGTTTTCATTAACACATAGTGCACAAAATTAAGAAATACACACACACACACACACACACACACACACACACACACACACACATAGATGAAAAATTTGTATTAAATTTAATATATTTCACGTGTTTTAAATAATCCATTCATTGTGGATCTCGTGTTTTATTTAGAAACAGTTTACCCGGCCAAATTACTCCGTTTTGGGATGTTACAGTTTTTATGCTTTTGGATAAATATCTCCTTTGTCATATCCATAGGTATAAAAAATATTTTTTAGAGAGAGAGAGAGAGAGAGAGAGAGAGAGAGCTCTGAAATTTGTGAGTGTCTGCTATATCTTTTGATAACTTGACTACGCTATGATGTGTTAATTAAATTAATATATTTTATATTAATTTAATTAGTATATTTTATTCGCTTATCTTAAAATATATTATTTTTATGTTATTTGTTTACTTACTCTTAAATTATGTTATTTAAACACAAAAAAATATTGTATATCAATTTAACACAAAATATGTAAATAATATAATCATTATATTAAATTAATGCTCAGATATATTAAAAAAGAACCTGCAGCAGAACTCGAATTTAGTTAATTACATGACTCAGTGATATGTTTTCAAAATGATAATTATCTGTACTTGCATGATAATCGAGGTGCTTTTGCAAACTGTTGAATATGCTTTGTAACATTAATAATTGTAACTACATTTTTGAAAAAGTAATTTCCAGGTGAATTCCTTTCATTGAAATGTTTGCCAATGCTGAAATCTTTCAAACACACATTATTCAATCATATGCAATCAGCCAGCTTTTCGAATTTTTATGTTTTTATTACAAATTCATAAATATATATCTTTTTGTGTACTATGTGTTAATAAAAATAACATAATTTTTCTGCAGTGCAGTGAGTTTAATTGCTGTTCATTAATAACAAAATAATAACTGTTTAATTTCAACAACTTTCCGATTTATCTTGTAGATGCATTCCAGTTTTAATTTTGTTTTAGACATGTAAAATTAAATTACTTAACAAACGATTTATTATATTATTTTATTTTACATATCGTAGTTATATTTCCATACTGACTGCAAGAAAACACACTCATAATTGTTGTAAATCATCTCTATGATGCATGATCGTTTGCATTTTAAGACACAAACTCGTTGTGTTATACCGCAAAATAAAAATACGTAAGTCAACTCATGTTTCACTCCCGACTGTCGATTCTCGATTCACCTTGTGTAATCAGATTGCCTGCGCGAGCGTGTGAACCAAGTAATTCACTTTAAGTTAAGAACTTAAATTTATTGGACTTTGCTTTTCTTCAGCCATATCGACAAAATATAAAAATAAATGCACGCCTAAAATTTTATAAATGACAGCGACGCGTTAAAATTTCAGGAAAATTCTTGATTAAAAATTATTTTGAATGTATCGGTTTTCTCTCATTGAGAATTTCTCGAGAGAGTTTCCTTCAAACGAGGGTGAAGTGTTGTTTTATTACTGTTATTGTTTAATTACTGGAATCATAGTTAATTATAATTATTCGTTATAAATGTGATACCGGAAAAGCTCGGGTACCTATACGTATCGATTACTCATACTAGAGAGGTGTTAGTCGTGCAAGGTGTGTCATATAGGAGAGGATCAAATTACCACGCAAGAAGGAACCTCGCTTGTCGCTGAAGACAGAATTCTATACATTATTTAACCTAAGTGTTTCTGTGCGACAAAATGCGCGGTATCACAGAAAGAACGCCTCTAAGAAGATCTGCGGATTCGATGGATCATATTGAATTCGCCAGCCTGTTAAGGACTCGAAGAACGCGACTACGACAGTTTCAATGTTGCGTCTGCGGCATCCTTATGTAAGTGTGGATCATATTCAAAATAGGATCGAAGAAAATAAATTAAATAATTTCTGGTAGAAAAATTTCCAAATTATAAGATTACCAAATTACATCCAAATTCTTATTTTTTACGTTTAAATTTAATTTTTAGGGATAAATTATATACATATTTTACAAAAACTGCAGTTAAATCAACAAACTTGCTATTTTATAAAAAAAAGGTGCAGAAGTCAGAAATAAATATCTAGTAGTTTAAACTTCAATATAACAATTATAGGATCTCTAATCTCCATCGAGCTATCAGTAAACATAAGAATTTGATCGGATTACTAAAAGTAAATTACATGCTAAAAATATCGCACATTAGAGAAATTAAAATTACCGAGAGATTAGATTTTTCAATACGATTCACGATTCTTCACGATTTCACAGAGTGGTTTTCACCATGGCTTTGATAGTATCCGTCAGCTACTCCATGAGCCATACCAACTCCACTAATCCTGCGAATGACAATGCAACGACTCCTGACAGTTTAGGTAGTGCCTTGAGATTAGGATTGGTACTTGAGTCTATTTCGCACGTAGCCTTCAGCAGCACCACTAGTGCCACAGCTGAGCCCAATTCTATCTTAATATCTAAAGAAGATATCAATAACTCAACAAAACATCTCAGCCAAATGGAATACACCCAGGGATTACGAGCTGGCGAACAGGCGATAAAAGATCGTCTATCTGCGGATATAATCGCCGCGAAGTCACCGTTGTTACCTTCATCTCCTGAATCCAGACATCGTCACGCAGTGAGCACATGTTCCAACGTTAGCACTCTTGCTTTAGCAGCGGTGGGCGAAATTGCGGCGACGAAAATGATCGAGAAAATGAGGTAAGACTTTGTTTTATTTTGTAAAGTGTCATAAATATGACACAGATCTTTAATTTTTTAAGGAAAAATATTATTAAGCTTTTTATATGTAAATTAAATTGTTAAAACTATTTTAAACAATCTCTCTCATAATTCTCATTAAAATTCAGGATATAATGTTATTTTCATGTACTGTATAAAAAAAGCGTTTAAAAAAATTAGAACGATGTTTGATCGACTGCATGGCATTTCTTATTGAAGTGAAATCTCACTCTAAGAGAGTGAAAATATTTCAGTTCTTAATAAAAAGTGACAATTTTTATTCGTTCAAAAATCTCACTCCAAAAAAGAAATGAGATTATCTATAGTATAATATTTAATTCGTTTCATTTTGTCTACTCATTACAAAATAACAGCTATTCAGTTTCAACAACTTCCCGATTGTAATTTATAGAGATCTACAGGGTGAGCCATTTTAATCGAATCGGGCACTCGAAAAATATGGAAGATATTGAAAAATGTTTCAGACAAAAGTTGTATAATTTAGAGGGGGACATAAGATGGTACTATTGGTTTGACATTGGATAGTCGTTTGAAAGTTACGTGAAGGTTACCTTCACTGAAACATTTTTCCGTATCTGCCATATTTTTCAAGATGTTTGCCTGGTTCGATTAAAATGACTCACCCTGTATAATGTGAGATTTTATTTTTTATTTTTAAATTAATATCCATTTATTGGCGAATAAAATTATCATGTAAAGTCATGATATGTTTAGTTGGTTTTGGATAAGATTTCATTGATATTTTTCTGTTTGAGGTCCACTCATGATGAACCATCGGCGATCGATACTATCTTCGACAGCGGCTGGTTACCGAAAAATATATGCAAACGATACTTCGATTACCGCACTTGTAAAACCGGTAAATTCCGAAC